TAAAAAATTCGTTGCCCTCGATATTGTTAAATAAAAGAAATTTAGTTAATTCTTAATTGATTTTGATTTAAAAAAAATATTCTTAAACCTGTTCTAAGAGGTTATTTTGAAAATAACTAAAACTTTTCCTTCCCAAACCTGGTATGTACATATATTCAAGCTCTTAATTTCCCTTTGCACTACATTTTCACTATAAATCTACTGAATTTAGAACAAATTAGAATTTGTGTAGTATATATAAATAAAATTTTCTTTTAAAATTGGAAAATATTTTTCTTAGTGTTTTTTTCATGAATACGCGTTTTATTCTTGAATTTTGTGCTTTTTAAAATTGGGAAATTCTGCATAACATTTCTATTACACATTAAGGTAAAAGACGCCTATAGACGTCGTAGATGAAAATAGCGTCTATAGCTGTTATTTTTTAAAGACTGATTTCGCGATAAATTGGAGTATAAATATTTTTTAATTCCTTCAGCATTATTTTAGCAGGAAACTAATATAGTTTCGTTATACTAATAAAATTTTTCATTAAAATTTTAATTGGGCAGTACTCGTGGAATTTAACGAATTACTCGAATTGCATAGAACCAATATTATTACAATTTTTTGCCATCAGGTCAAAATCATATTTTGATATTAAATGGGACAGTATTTTTTATTTTCAATTACTTCATACCAAGTCGAGCTTGTTTTTAAATGAGTATATAATTAAGCTCTGTCCATCTATCTGTACGTGTTTCCCCCTGGGGCTGTTAACTTGGTGAAATGTCCACCTGCACGGTGGTCAATTCCGACCAAAAATTATTTCTTTCAATTATTTAATTCTGATAAATTTTTGATGGTAGATTATAGCTGACACTTCAAATCATACAATTTAAATCGTATATTGATTATTGCTTAACCTTGTGACTGTATATACATGTGCAAAGTTAATAATATTTTGCCTGTCGTTTTAAGGCTTTTGAATTAGGTTTTATACACCTTTACATAAATGAAGGCTATAATTTTTTCCTTAAAGTTTTTCTTTGTGAATTAGCACGTATTTTTAAGTAGTCTTAGTAAGTAATCATTCCATGTGGTTATTGCGATTTTGTGCGGTTTAATTTAAATAAAAAAGCTACACAAATCCAAATTTTGAAAGACCGTAGAAAAGGGGCTATAAGAGGTTGGGTGAACATTGCATCTACTACTGTTATATATTAGGAATAAGTATTATAAATTTCATTTGCAATTTCCTGCAACTCTAGTAACTAGAGTATTTTTAATGACTTCGTCTATTACAAATGCTAAACTTTTCCATATATTTCAACTTCATAAAAATAGATAACGGGACGACATATTATCAATAGTACAAAATCAAATGGAGGATGGAAGGTTCAATTATGAACTGAACATAAAATTTGACAGAAGGATTTTACTGCCTATAAAACTTGTTTATGTTGATATTTATCACTCAGTTAAATCCTTTTTCTTAAGGATCCTTATGTAGGGGATAGGGTCAATTATGGACCAATTGACATTAACTTTGATACATATATTTATGTTCATATAATATGGGAGGTAGGGTCAATGATGGAGCAATTCTCATAAAATTTTATAGTGAAATTTAGGTTCCTATAAAACATACAAGCGCAGCGAGCTCTCAATTGAACTCTCTGGTTTATTTTCCAACACACTTACGTAACTTCCAAACTAAGAGAATTAGAGCTTGGAAGTTTTTTGATGGAGTTACACATAGAGAAATCTCTGTTGTTAAACATAAAGATAAGTTCTTGTTTGCCGAAAAATTTTTTTGCATATGAGAATGTTTGATATTTAATATTTATTTTAATTTTAAAATATCTCAAGAAAAATTATCATTAAATACGTAAAAAAATTTATTTGAAGAATTTTTTTTCTGAGTGATTGTAAAAAATAATGGTAATTTTAATAAATGTGAATCAGCGACATAAACTCCTAGTACCCGCTACTATGTTAATTCTTGATTCTTACAACATTATCCTGTAAATATTTTTAATTAATTGACATTTATAGCACTGTATATGAGCGCAAAAGTTCTTGGAGGATATTTTTATACACCTAACGATCCATTATTTGTTTCATTTTTCAAAATCTTCTATTATTTCTTTACTTTTATTTACATGGAATATATATTAAGATTCATTTTGTATCTAAAATTGCAAATAAATGCATTTCCGAGAGCAATGTTCAAAAATAACAGGTCGTGTTTAAATTTTTTCCAATCCTATTCACAAAATATCCAGAAATTTTAATGTTTTTTTGTTATTTATAATACATTACACTGTAAAGTAGTGAACTCACTACACCAAAAACACTAAAAAATTTTACAAACTTTTCTTTCAGTGCATGGAATGCAAAAACACAAAGTGAAGTAGTGTTAGTGTGGGAAGAAAATTTTACGCTCTGCCGATGTGTGCTTTAGGCCTGCCAGATTTTTCGATTTATCGGGTTTTTTGCCGATATTTTAACATCCCAGCAAAAAAAAATTCTCGGCCGGGATTTGAACCCAGGCATTCAGTTGTTTTCTATGTTTCTCACTCCAGCCGCTTACTCGATGCTCCATTAACATGTTGCTTTTTGTAATTTTCAGAACGGCATTTTACAAAAATATATAAATGAATGTCATTTTGAAAAACATAAACAGTATCCAGCAGGGCTCGAACCACGAACCCCCTGTTTGTTAAATAAACGACCTAGACAATTGAGCCATAACAAATCCAAATTGCTTTATTCTTTACCTGTAATAACCTAAATGAAATAATGTGGATGATAATGTACACTCATTACCAAGTAATGTATGAAATAACTACTGGCTATTACCAAAAATTTCAGATTTTTTGCTGGGATCAAAATAGTAAAGTGCCGATTTCCCAATTTTTGCTTCAAAAATGCCGTTTTTTACCCAATCAAACCCAATCGAACAAACTAACGAATTTATTATTATTTATTATAACTTTACAAACGACATGGAGCTTTTAAAACAATTGGGAAAAGAAAATTTACATTACGGTAAAATACAATTTGCTCCATCAGCAATGTCCATTGGATCGATTATGAAAAGGAAACACAATTTATGTATGAAAATCTTGAATAGGTTTCCAAAAGCCTGATCTAAGGGTGCTAAAATGTTTAAGAAATTTATTTATGGTTTGAAATTAAATTTACACATTTTGTGAAAAAGTAAAAATCTGGAGATAATTTCCCATTATTAAAATTTCCTCAGCAAAATCTTTACCTATCCGGTAACACGTTATTTGATTGTGCTATTTGGAATGGTTTTAACAAAAATTAAAAAACAATTAGAACCATTAACTAATTCCATATTAGACACACGCTCTAGACAATTGGTTACAAATCCAATTGAAAAAAATTATGTTGTTGATAACGATTACTCACTGCCAAGTAATGTATGAAATAACTACATCACTCATAACCAAAATTAAAAATTTTTTTACAGGGTAGTATTCCACAAATAATTATATATCTACATTTTCCTGCTAAAGTGATACAAACTCTAATAGATTACATTGCGGATATTTCTACAAATATATCTGGCAGCCCTGAGGGGTTATTGTGTATTTCGTTTCGAAAAGGAAAAATTACGAATTCGACAAAATTGTATTATACAGTAGATTTTCTGAAATTTATTTACGAACGTTCGTAAATATTTTTTATTTTGGGATTTTTTTTTCTTCTTTCGAAAAATCAAAAATCCCTTTCGTAAATGCAATCATGTATTACATCATAAGAATGCTATTTTGCTTGCGAAAAGAAAACAATTTTAAAATATAAGTAATTAATAAATATGTATACACTTGTTTTACTAATAAATTTAATCAAATTTCTAAAGGGAACCAGTAATAAAAAATATAGCACTTTTTAGAGTTTCTTGAAAAAATGAGGTATTAAGTATTAATTAAAATTTCTTTAAAATTTTTAGAGAAATCTGATACAAAATTAGTTATTTTGTCATTTTTGTGTCCCATACTAGTTCAAACATGTGATTCCTGACAGAATGTGCGATTAGCTTCGCTCATTGCTAAAGCAAATGACAAAACTTTATTAAATACAAGCATAAAAAGTTTAAATTTTTAAAAAGTACAACATTTTATCAAAAAGAGTACCTTTTATGTATTAAAACTACTAAATTACTTTATCTATTGACTAGTTACTAACCTGGGCAAGTGTAAGACTAGGCTATTTACTATTATATTGACTTCTCAATTTACTAGTCTTTTTACAAGTGTATTGTGTACACTATGGCCTAACCTAATCACTGGCATATTGACTATTATACTTACTGTTCTATGGACTATCCTATTGACTAGACTACTGGCTAGTATGCTCTATATAATATTCTGTGAACTAATCTTTGTATTAGTCTATGGACTAGTTTATTGACCTCTTTATGGACAAGTTTATGGAACAATCTATTATATATTTTTTCCTGAATTTTAAAATTTCAAATCAATATACATATTTAAGTACAAATAGAAGAACATCAAATACAAATACAGCGTAACAATTCTCACAAAATTTTCCAGTATTTCAGGATAAACATTTTGCGAACTTCGTGGGATTTCAGTGAAAAACTTAATTGGTAAACGAACAAACCGGAACCATTCATATTAATAAACAATTCTTATATTCTTAATTTAGGTAGAGTATTGCCTTTATTTTGTTGTTGGATAGCTATAAAAAACTACTATATATTCCATTTACTGCTTTAAATAACTATTTTCACGAAATAATTTGTAATATACATATTCATAATTTCTAATCGTGTTAAATAAGTTAATTGAAATTTCTTGACAAATATTTTAAAAGAAATACACGAATATTAGAACATTTTGTTCTTGCTGAGCACTCGAGGCATGTTTCGTATCAACTGGAATAGGAAAATAACAGTTGAACAGTTGAAATGAAACAAGCTTTCAAGCGTTTGATAAGTATTCTTCAAAATCAAAAACACTTACCTGCCTAAAATTTTACTGACGCAGCCATTGGAAACTTGTAGAATACGCGATATATCACAGGGACGAGCACCCGAATGGGCGAGCTCAACTATTTTTTGACGTGTAGAGTCCGGCAGCGGTCGGCCATTGACATACACACCGCCCAGTTGATTGATACCACTATGACCAGCTGTGGAGCAACCAAACAATGCACTTTGACTAACCGATGAGGCATGGCCATGCATGATGTGTTCTGTTGTTAGCATCATCATTTGACTGATTTTTTTATTTTACAAATTATTTCACTTTTGCTATTTTCTTGTAATTTTTTTAATTATAGAACTTTGTTGGTTTAGAGATTAACACATGTGGAATGACTAAAAGCGACAATAAGTGAAAACTTTTTCTTTAGTTTTGGTTTAATTATAAAATTAGTTTTGAGATTGATTCTCCAAAAAAACATGTATACACAGATATACGTATATGTATGTGTAAATTGTTTATATGTGTTGGTATATATATTTTTTATATTTTAATTTATTTACTGAATACATAAATTGTTTTTCGTACTGTGTAAATTTTTAAAGATCGATTTTTTAAATATTTTTTCTATGTTTAATGTGTAAAAAAGAACATTTTTAAATACCTGCAATATATATTTTTTGTTTTGTATTACTATTTTATTTATTTTATTTTAACTTTCGTTTTTATATTTTTTTTGTATAAATAATTAGGGATATTTTTATTCTTCAAACTTTAAAATCACAATCACATACTACATTATTATAATGGAGTTACGGCGGGTTTGTTGGTTTTATTTCTTTTTAAAATATGGAAATTTTATTTATAACTTTTGGTAATTTTGGTATTTGCATTTTTGTTATTTATTTATATTTTTGTACACGCTCAAATTTTGTATTATATATTCTGTAACGATTAACAAACAATATTTGTTGTTTTTTTGTTGATATACATTACTATCCTGTTTGTTGTTGTTTATCTTGTATGGATTTTTTTTAATTAATTGCTTTAATTTGTGCTTTATGCTCGATTAGCGACAATGCAAATTAGAAGAAGAATACACGCCATACGACGAATACGAACGTCGATCTTCGTCTGTCTGTGTATGAGTATGAAATAAAAAATCAACAGCAAAAACAACTGAGCAAAAACACACACAATTTATAAGGTTCGTTGCTTTATAGTGCTCCTGGAATACGGTGCAAATTAGTAGAGATCAGATACGTATTTACTCCTACATAAACCGAGGCAGGCAGGCTGCTTGCCAACACTTGATGACGGTGGTTTAAAATCCAGTAAATAGCTAGCTAGCTAGATAGATGATGTTGTGGTACATACAAAACACATGTGTGTGACTAACTGACTCGTGTTCTGACCGCTAGTCTTACGTTATAACGGAAGACACGACATTTTTTAATTAAAATATTACTCTAAATTCTGGTTTTGCGGCAGTTGATTTTTCGGTTTTCTTGTTGTTTGTTTTTTGTTCTTCTTTTTTACTTATTTTTGTTATTCTGCTGTGTAGTTGTTTTGTAGACTTTTTCCACAACAAAAAACTCATCGACAACTTTCAATGAATGCGAGTGTACAGTGCACTTAGCGAAGCGAAACGTTAATGAGCTCTCATGCGAAAAAATATCCAAACAAACGTGCCAAAAAGTACTTCATATACCGGAGTACGGTTAAAATAACTAAACAACGTAAAAGCCAACAAAAAATCACACACATACACAAACAAAAACAGCGTTGGATATAGCTATAAAATTCAGCCCAGAAAATAAGACGATGAATGGAACAACAACAACAACATCTTACTCAGCTACAGTCAAACAAACAAACATACATTCATACCAACCAACAACCAACCAACTTACATACATACATATACACACAAATGGAAAACCAAAGCAGTAAATAAAAAAAGAGCTGCATGTGCATGCTCGAACGAATAAGCAAGCATGAATGGCTGCCTACAAAAGCAAAAATTCACACAAACTTATATTAATATACAATAAAAAAAGAGAGAGAGAGAAAAAAAACAACTAGTACGTGTGTTTATATTAATGTGTGTTTTTACATGCCTACAGTACGGAGCATTTGATTAAGGTTTTGAACACTATGTATGTACAACATTCTTTTCTTTAAGTTTTTAAAACATTTGCAATTTGTATAGCGAAGAAAATTTAATATAGCGAAGAAAATAGCTTATTTTATTGTTATTTAAATTTTTTTATTTCACGCAAAATATAGTAAAATAACTAGGACAAATCCTAACGTAGCCGGATTTTTTTTATTTTTGACATGTGAGAGGAGAATTAACAAAAAAAAGACAAAGGATGCCGAACATTGCCTTGCATATAGTACTAACAATGGAATATAGCGGATCTAATTTTTGGACTACGGGCGAAGAATTGAGAGGAAAAGTGGCGTGGTAAAATTGCGTTATCTTTAATTTCAGCTAATTTAGAAGTCCTTTAAAGCATACCATAAAGTACATAGTTAGAATAACAATTTTTGGACTATGGACGGCGAATTAAGAAAAAAATGAGCGTGGCAAAATGTTTTATTATTTATCTAATACAATACAATTACAAATTTTTTCTTACCTAACTTACCTAGCAGGGTGACGATGACCATACGTCTGTTGTAGTTAAGCAGACCAGAGTATCGAAACCACAACACCCAATCTGATAAGCTAGCATATTACCAACTATCCGGGGATTCCGCCGAAATGTTGTTTTTTTTACATATTAACTGATTTGGAAGGCCCTCAAGTACCTAGGAAGATTAAATTGGCATGCCTGTTATATGAGGAGAAGATGAACATTGAACTTATATCCGCTGTTAGGGCGGGGACGCAAATGAAAAAACGGGGTCTGGTAAGTGAAAAGTTGTACTTATTTAACATAATTATGAGGGCAAACTCAATTGCTACAAATCAGATTAAAATAGCAAAACCATTATTTGGGACGAGGCAACAATGGCACTAAGTTACGCACTTAATGCTGTTGATAAATTATTAAAAACTTAATTGCAAAATGATTACCCATTTGAGGGAAGGTATTATTGCTAGGAGGAGATTTTCGCAATTGTTTTCCTTTGGTTCCACATCCTAACAGAACATCTTTAAAATATTAAGGTCTCTGGTCACTTTCAAATTTTACACATTACACATTTTGAAAAGGGTATGTTCAAATTTTTAAACAGCCTTTTGCCATCAGATTTGCCGCCTCACAAAGTAATTATCAAGGTAGGAGCAGTTGTTATGCTTCTTCGCAATTTAAATTTAAGAATGGACTATGGAACGGCACATGATTACAAGTCATAAAGCTATAAAAAATCGTATTTGTGAAACTATTCTCTTAGGCAGTGCTGAAGGAAACACGACATGAATTGACCTAGCACTAATAAATCCAGATCTTCTACTTGTTTTACGCCAACGACAGTTCCCAATAAGCCTGATATTCTCCATAACTACATATAAATAAAGCGCAGAGTCAAACGTTGCCTGTTGCATTTTCATCGTCCGCAGATTAATGCTATTCATACAGATGGAAAGCATGGAATGCATCACTTAGACCCCATACAACTGAACACCTCCACTCGAGCTTTTGAGCTCATAATTATGTTAAGTATACCTGTATCTTGAAAAAACGCTGTTTTATATTTTTTTATAATCCTGTCAAATTTCATTATGGTTGGAATTCATTTGACCCTAGCCATCATCCCAGAAAATTACTTGAATACTTATTTCGCGATGAAAGCATAATAAATTTAATGTACATAAATGAATCCACCAAATTTTATAGGGATCGATCAATATTTGACCCAATCCCCTCTTTCTGGAAATTAGATTTTCGTCAATAAATGTTTTAAATGTATCGGAACTAAAGTATAATTCAACATAAATGATTTATTAAATTAATCTTACTGCTGCAGAGTATCATATGTTCGGCCACGCACAAATATATATTATTTTTATACCCTCCACCACCATCAGTGTTGCTAGAGGGTATATATAACTTAGTCATTCCGTGTGTAACACCCAGAAATATTCATCTGAGACCCAACAATTCTTGGACCTTATGACTGTCTGTCTGTATAAAACATTCTTACGCTAACACGAAGCAACAGAAATGAACGAAATTCACCCAAAATATCTACTTATTATTGTCCTAGGCAGTTTGGTGTTGAAAATGAACAAAATCGCTTCACATCAGAAAAAGTTATAAATTTGAAAAAACACCCAGAAAATTAAGCTTTTTTTACATATTCTAATGTAATTTACACAAAAACTGTGCAATATAACTCCATGCTTTACAAGTGCTTTATTCTTGTTAAAAATTGGCGAAATCGGTCCACAATTTCATATACCTCCCATACAAATGTACATGTTTCCGGAAAATGAGTTTTTTGTTAATAACTTCCGTTTGAATGTCGATATCTTCACAACATTTTATAAATTAAAGTTTTATGTCAGTAGAATTCATCCAAAGAAAAAAATTTCAAGATCGCATTGGCACACATATTACCTTTGTATACAGAAATGTTATTTTAAAATTTTTTCACGATGGGTCCCATACAAGGTCCCCTCCCGAAAATCACTTAAACGCACCTAACTCATTACTAAAATAAGATATTCATATAAAATTTGGTACAAGTATTACTCTTATATACAGAAATATTACTGTGAAAGCTTTTTCCGATCGGTCCAATATTTCCATCGTTTCTCGATTTGTGAGTAAAAAGTGTTTCTGTAACTTAAAGTGAGAAGAGGCAACACGAATTACGTTTTTATTGGAAAATGTTTCCAATAAAACAGCTGTCAAAACATAAAAATAAAAAGAAGAAATCAAAAATTGCCAAAAAAATTTATAAACGAAATTTAAATAAATAAAAAATATAGAAATTAATCAAAGTTTATGCCCACGTACTTTTTTAATTTTAATCTTGATTAATTATAAAAACATCAGTACTTTTTAATTTTTTTTATAGAATTCATGTTTAAATTAAATTGTCAATGAAATTGTGCATTTAATTTATTTTCGGAAATGGTCCTTATATGAGAGTTGTGACCAATTATGGACCATAGTTTAGGTTAAGATTTTAATACTTATTGTAAATTTCTATATAAGAAAGATTCAATAAGGAATAAATAAAATGAAAAAGAAAAAATATAAAAATTTTACATCGATAGCTTTATTAGTTAATAAAATTGTATGTGCCTTTAAGTGATTTTCAGAAGTTGACCTTATATGGATTAATACATGCACAAAATATATTCGTGCCGAATTGTACATCGATAGCTTTATTTGTCAATGAAATATGCTCGTTTGATTGATTTTCGAAAGTGGACCTTATATGGGAGCTATGACCAATAATGGACCAATACGGAAACAATTAATAGAATGATTTGTATGTACACAAAACATATTCAACTCGAATTTTATCTCGATAGCTTTATTTCTCAGTGAAATACGTGCGTTTTAGTGATTTTAGGAAGTGGGCTTTATATGGGAGCTATGACCAATTGTGGACCGATACAAACCAACGTTAGCAGTATGATTTCTGTTTATATTATATTTACATGTGCAAAATTTTGAGTTGAAACTGACATATTTGAGGAAGTTATTAACAATAAATATATTTCCGGAAATATGTGCCTTTGTATGGGGGTTACGGGAAGTTTTAACTCGATTGTTTTGATTTTCAACATAACTAATCCTTATATAACGTGTTACAAAATTCATCGAATTACCTTTTGTAGTTTTTGAGAAAACGACTTAAGAATTACGAAAAAATCTTAATTTTTTCGAGGTAGTCTGACTTTCAATACCAAACTTCTTAGGACAACAATGAATATTTTCAGTGAATTTGGTTGATTTAATTTGCTTAGTTTTAACGTGAGCGTGTTTTAACCAGACAGACAGACGGACATAGTTAGATCGACTTAGAATTTGATAACCACCCAGAATATTTATACTTTGTTGGGTCTCAAATGAATATATCTTGGTGTTACACACGGAATGGCAAACTTATATAATATGCCCTTTATCACCACTGATGGTGGTGGAGGGTATAATTAAACATTAAAATTAAAGTACTTCTTAAATTAGTAAATATTTATTAAAAAAATTATCATACTAAATATTATGAAGTTTAAAATTAAAAAGAACAAGTAAGAGTGTTATATTCGGCTAGGCCGAATCTTATATACCCACCATCAAACCTCGTTTGACTCGAATGAAAATCACTTATGTCGAATTTTATCTATATACTCGTATTTTTAGGCCAGTTATAAGCGATAAAGTAATTTTCTGAAGGGGACCTTATATCGGGGGGTAAATTTAGTAGACAGAATTTGGTTCGTATTAAATTTATTTGTGTCGAATTTCATCGCTACACTCGTATTTTTAAGCCATTAATGAGCGTTGCAGTCATTTTCTGAAGGGCACCTTATATGGGGGGTAGGGTCAATCATGGACCGATCCTCATAAAATTTTTTAGATAGATTTTGACTCGTATGAAACTTACTTATGTCGAATTTCATCTATATACTAGTATTTTTAAGCCAGTAATGAGCGTTAAAATCATTTTCTGAAGGGGACCTTATATGGGAGGGTAGGATAAATTATGGACCGATCGTCATAAAATTTTGCATAGTAATTTGGGATCACAAGAAAC